TATATATATATATATAATTTATTAAATTTTTTGAAAGTAGTTTCTTATGCTCACCAAGTCTGCATTTATTTGAAAAATACAGTAAAAACTGTAATATTGTGGAATATTATTACAATTTAAAAGAACAGCTTTCTATTCGAATATATATTAAAATGTAATTTATTCATGTGATCAAAGCTGAATTTTCAGCATCATTACTCCAGTCTTCAGTGTCACATGATTCTTCAGAAATCATTCTAATATGCTGATTTGCTGCTCAAAAAAACATTTATTAGTATTATCAGTGTTGAAAACAGTTGAGCTGCTTCATATTTTTGTGGAAATCATGATGCATTTTTATTTTCAGGATTCTTTGATGAATAGAACGTTCAAAAGAACAGCATTTCTTTAAAATAGGAATCTTTTGTAACATTATAAAAGGCTTTACTGTCACTTTTGATTAATTTACCCCATCCTTGCTGAATAAAAGTATTAAACTTTTCAATGTATCAATGCAAGTGTAGGCAATAGGCAGTGTTAGGTAGCTGGCAGTGTGGCAGCTCAGATCCATTATATTCATTGTGACTACTTATCATGAGTCTTGATATAATTTAGAAAGTGTATGTCCTTATAATATGACGAACTCAAAGACTAATCTGCTGCCAGACACCTTTGAGGACTCTGTTGAGACTTTTAACACAACCTTACAGCCATCATTAGTAGCAGGGCTTTTATCCGGAGGACAGTTTTATTGCTTAGAGGTTGCTCTTTCATGTCTCTGGAGACTTAAGATGAGATCTCTGACTTTTAAATGCAGAATTTGGTGTCTTGAAAAATCTGGGCACACATGTGAAAAATATTAGATTACTGATTATTCCTTTGCTCTTAGCTGATGTCTATATGATTTATTTTTTCTGGCACAGGTATGGTTTTGCATATACAAAAGTCTGAGACCACGTGGAAAACCTTGTTTTTTTTACAGAAAATTATCAGAAAATATTCATTTTATGCCATAGATTTTCTTTACGTACAAATTATTTCAGATTCTGCAGATTGTATTTCCGCGTCACTATTCAAATGAGCAATTTTGCATGTGAACTTTGCACAAGGGTCAGATTTTCATGCTACCATTGAAGCACAAGGTGCTCTTTGAAACATCTCAAATTATCTCAGAAGAAGATGAGTGTTGCTGCCATTAAAGCTGAAGTATCAAATATGAAATCATTCTGTAATTTATGTAAATTCTTCATTTAACCCTTTCACTCTTTTTACTGATAAAGAGCATTTACACTAATTATCTTGGACTTTTAGGCCCACTATATGTGCGTTCTCATTTTTAATCATCTGTCATTCTTTCTTTTGTATAGAGAGCTATAGCTAATGGCTTTAAAGGTGTCATATGATGCGATTTCAATTTTTCCTTTCTCTTTGGAGTGTTACAAGCTCTCAATATAAATTCTTTATAAAAGTTAAGAGTCAGTCACGCCTACCTAAAACGGCTTATTCAGATGTGTGCAGCACATTTTATGGAGGACTGTTTCCTGATCGTAGAAGAGTAGACTACAATGCCGGCTGTTCTGACTCACAGACTGTAAGTACGTTTTTTATATTTAATGAATTTGCCCCTGATGATTCAAACGCGAGTTTTGAGCAGTGTAGAGTAGCACTTGTTGTTTGTCATTTCTCCGATCACAAATGCAGACATGGTTTTATGTTTACGCGGCGCGATGCAACGCAACGCGTAAAAAGACAGTATAAGTCATTATAATCCGTAATTATGTCCCCACTGGATGCAACAAATGCCTCGTTTATAATGGGTTTTAATATTTTTGTCTCGTCGCTCCGGGCGGACGGCATCACAGTATGGTAAGGGGCGTAACATTTCCATCACACGCTTGAGGTATTCGGCCAATCACAACGCACTGGATAGCTGGCCAATCAGAGCACACCTCGCTTTTCAGACCGATGAGCTTTGTAAAAAACGACGCGTTTCAGAACGTGGGGCATAGAGGAGAAATGTGGAAAATAATGTGTTTTTTGAATCTTAAACCGCATAAACACATTTCATTACACCAAATACACAAAATAATGTTCTTTTTAGCAACATCATATGACCCCTTTAAAGTGAACAGCACCCTTTGAGCCCAGTCCTTAAACAATGATGGAACCACAGTCTTCATAAATAAAGCAAAAAGTTCTGCCTATTTCTGAAATCAAGGGCTGATTCATAGCCCTCCATTTCAATGTATTTTTTTTTCCCTCCCGCTGCATATACCACCCGTAAAGAAAATAAATTTCTAATTGAAAACCTATGATTAGTGTCGCAATTACACAACTTTTCATGTGGGTTCAGCTGTTCAGAATCAGCTGCTGGAATCAGGAGTCTGAAGTCCTTGTTGGCTTCTGCAGCTCTGAGCAGTTTTTAGTGCAATCACACACTTAGGAAATAAGGAGAACAGCATATAATTTTACAAAGGTGGCACATAAAAGCACAAGGACAAAATTATATGTTAGTGATTTTGTATAGATTTTAAAGTTACTTGAAAAACCACTAAATAAAATGCCTGTTTTTTTTTTTTCATGATAGTTCCATCAAAATGTTAATGTCACACATTTATTATTTTTACAGTGTAGCATTTGTGTTTTTTTATATATAGTTAAATAAATGGCTTTGAAATTGTCGTTGTACTAAAGCAAATTATTAAAATGTTAGGTAACACTTTTTTTAGGTTCACAATTTTAAGGTCCAATTCTCACTATTAACTAGCATGTATATTACTAACATATTGGCTGTTTATTAGTACTTATAAAGCATATTAATATACGCATTAATGCCTTATTCTTTTTCCTACCCCATACCTAATCTTAACAACTACCTTACTAACTATTAATAACAGCAAATTAGGAGTTTATTGAGGAAAAAGTCATAGCTAAAAGTTAGTTATTAGTGAGAATTGGACCTTAAAATAAAGTGTGACCAAATCTTATATTTACTTTTTATTAAGAGAACAGCATATCAGAGATTAATAATGAAGATTTTTAATGTTTTTTAAAGACATCTCTTGTGCTCGCGAAGGCTGCATTTGTTTGATCAAAAATACTGAACAAACAATAATATTTTAAAATATTGTTACAATTTAAAATAGCTGTTTTCTATGTTAATATGTTTTAAAACTGAATATGCTTAAAGTTTTTTTTAATAGTTTTGTAAAAAGAATATGTATATATATATATATATATATATATATATATTCGAAGATGGCGCCGACGCTGATGGCTGCCTCCGTAGCGTGCTCCGCAGTTGTTTTTATGTTTTTGTTAGTTTGTCCTGTCTTTAGTTATATCCCTGCAATCAGTTTCACCAGAGACGAATTGCTGGACATTCGGCAGTACACACCACCCGATATTTCACCGGTTTTCGACTATTCTGATGTTTTGCTGGACATTGTAGTCGGAGGAGCTGATCAAACGCTTCAGGACGTGCAGACTGGGGAAGCGAGTTGATTATAAATGAAGAGGAAGGGGGTCTCTCCGACGAGCATATTGCCTCTCTCAGGAGGTAAGAGTTACATGGAGACAAAGCAGCCTGCCAAACTCCACACCTGACACAATAGTTCATCTCTTCACAAGTGGTGGCGCATGTCTATTTTAAGTAGGGTTGTTGTTTGATTAATTGTTGCTCTATGAACATGTGCAGATGTCGTGTTTTGCTGCTTTTTTCAGTATCTCTTGGCACAAGTGCCACATTTTTAAGACAGCTTATCAACTTAAGTCAAGTTTAAAATGTGTACTGAATATGTATAAATTTCATGCTGATCCAAAGTAGTTTATGCTGATCTGGTGCGTCTTTAACTGGTGCTGTGCTGAAATTTAATTGAGTTTTTCTGGTCAAAAATTGTTGCTGTTGAAAAATGTTCCTGTGGCTCAGTGGTAGAGCATTATGTTAGCAGCACAAAGGTTGTGGGTTCAATTCCCAGGGAACACAAATACTGATAAAAAATGTATAGCCTGAATGCACTATAAGTTGCTTTGGATAAAAGCGTCTACTAAATGCATTAATTTAATTTAATTTAATTTAATTTAATTTAATTTAATTTAATTTAATTTAATTTAATTTAATT